AGGTAAACAATCCCAACCTTTTCAAGTTATCTTTCCCGTGCCCCTAATCATTCTTATTGTCCTTCTTTAAACTCCCTGTAAGTCTACGTCCTAGAACTACCATTTTCACTAGTAAGCCTATCAGACAAGCTAAGGAATGGATGGCAATAGGAATGAATTGTAATCTTATTTCCACTTCAGAACGGGTCTAAAGAACACTGGTGATATGGGTTGCTGCTTTGTAAAGGGCTTTCCACTATAGTGAGGCCATGCTAGGACCTCTCATAATCACTGCATTCAAAATATAAACATAGATTGATTTTCAAAGGTGTTGAGCATCCAAAACTTCAGCTGAACGGCAACACTTCTTGCTCTCAGCATGCTGAAAAATAAAAGCCTTTAAACTGACTACTAATTTGCTGTTTAAATACTAAGGCCATCAATTATTTGAATCAAGAAGGAAAATAAGCTATTTATAAAGTGCAAATAAGTGCACAAGAAGGAGAGGATATTAATACTAAAATCAGCAGGGGTTGATCTGTGCTCAGTTGTCAGCCCTAACATCTCTCCTGAGTTATTTGAAAATCTGATGAAAGTTTCACATGTAATTGGACACACTAATCTCGGCATGCAGTGGGGAAGTGGAGAAGGACACCTAGTACCTTATTTATAGTTACACTAGACTTCTGTGTTTCCCTTATGAAAACAGGATAGTTTCCCCCCACTGACTCCTCATTACTCATTACCGCATTACTCCTCATTGTTCCACCCCCGTGTTTAAATGCTTTATATTAAAATGTATCAATAACAATAGTGAGGGTTGGCTTTTTTAATATTTTTGCACACTTCAGGGAATTTCCACAATATACTTTAACAAGATTTTTATAAAACAAACCACCTAGCCCTTTATTTACAGGTTTGTATTATACAAATTCTATTAAAGAGCATGCAGTTCAACCATAATTGTTTTTAAAAAATCTTAAACTTTATTGGAAATCAATTTATTTCTGTTTCAATAGCTTTCTGGCATTATTGCTGCATTTTTGTGTGAGTGATGACAGTGCATATTGTAAACTGTCCACACAGCGCTGACACACAGTCGGGACAAATGCCAACTAATACCATATACAGTTCAGTACTCCTGGGACGCGTATAGCAAATGATCATGTTTCTAATTAAGGTTCTCTCTGATAGGATTAATCATTTGACAATATAAATCAATAGCTGCTCTTCCAAAAGAAGCTCTTTTTTGCTGAAAAGGCTATTCATCCTTAGCTGAAGAGTCAATATTTTAGGTAGATGATTGATTTGTCCTACATTTTATGTATTCAGATTCAAAGTACAAACAACAGATGGCTTATGCTATAGTCCTGGACCTAGATTTGGTTGGTGTAATCCACTCATCACTGCTGGAATTTAAACCCTGTAAATTTACAATGACCTCTGGATTTCTGTTCTACGTAATTGCAAATGTAACCTGTCAGAGATTAAGCTAAAATAATTTCATTTTATTTAGAGTTACAAGGAGGAATATTATGAGACAATGGCCATTGTGTCAGTTTTAATAGTCACCATGAAACTGAAGCTTTAGGCATAGTAACTTCACACTGGGCAGTACCTCATTAGGTGTGACCAGAAGAAACCAGGCCACTCTTCTGATTATGGCCTTTACCAAAGGACCCTCCAATTAGTGTGGGCTACTCGTAGTTATTTGTTTGAATGGGAACCATCGGGTTGGGCCTGAGAGGATTTAGCTTTTAATTAGGTAATTGAAAATCCCTAATTGTAGGCTGATAATCTTTCCAGTATCTCTTCTTAAGTTTGGCGCCAACTAGACCAGATGACTCAGACTTATCCTTATCCTTGAGGAAAATGAGATTTTTCTTCCAGAGATAAGGGTTGTTGTCTGTGGCTCATGAGTGCTTGGGTGTAAAGATTACTAGTATTTCATAAGTAGCTTAGAGTAGACAGCAAGGTTAATTTTCAATACTGTAGTACATAAACGCAGCTTTTGTATAGTCATTCAGAATTGAATTTTAAACCATGCAACAAGAAGCAGTAACAGTGTATGGAGGGACATTACTAGTGATTCACAATAACTGTGTTTTATTGAGCAAAAACAGTGTTTTATTGATAATGTGTCTGCATTTGTTTTACCAAACACATAGCAATTGAATTTCCTCTCTGTTATACCAGTGTAAAAGAGGAGTAACTCCACTGAATTCAATATAAAACTGGTACAAGAGAAGAATCAGGCTCATAAAACTTGGAATATAAAATGACAATTTTTTAAAATGTCTTTCTTTTGTTAAATTTAGTACTAGCCAACAGAACCAGACTGTTAGTCTTATAGACTGAAATCCTCTATTTATCTACAGGATAGGCACAGCTTGGGTACAACTCTGTCATACTGCCCTGTCAATGGGCTTGGCCTAGAGAGACCACTTCTGGAGTAGAAGTTAGCAAAGGCTCATGGTAAAGGCTCATGGACCTCATAAAGCACCACTCTTTATGTACACAGGTCAGCATTCCACCCTTGGTTCCCCAGTCCATGGTCCTGTCTGGTTCTAGCATGAGTAAGCCCCAACAGATTTTGATTTCCTTAAATACCCTCCCTCATTCTAGAATTTCTACTTCATGTAGAGAGGTCTTCAGATGCAAAGGCACCTAACAGACAGGAAAAGGTGGGAGTTGCCCCAAAGTGATGGAGTAACTTCAGGGGCTGTGTATGTCATAGATATGTGAGTTGAAGGAAGGAGGTATACATGGGGAAGGAGGGGGATATACATTTTACTTCACACAGAGTTACACAAAAACTTATGGCTGCCCTTTTATAGGGGTGAACAATAGAACATTATTCAGTCCTTAGCCCCTCTTCTGAGAGTACCACTTAGTGCCATTTGTGGGTGTAGTTTTTGATATGTGGGTAGAGGTCTGGTGGGCACCAGACCTATTAAAATTTTTTTGTAAATATGTTGCATGGATTAGCAATTGGGTTCCATGAATTGACATGTGGACATTTTACTATAATAGAATGTGTATCTAAAAAACAGCCTTGTACCCTGTACTATTTAAATTTTGTTTTCTGATGCTTTTTAGTGTTACAATAATTTCTGAATTTAGGAATTTGCTGGATAAACAGCATAAAAATTCAAACCTAGAAACAACAAGCAGATAGTAAACAAATTACATGAAGCAAAAACATTAGCATGCACAGTGGTTGGTATTATTTCATGCTGATGAACTCTCTTTGGGAGTATATTGCTGGGGAAGAGAGATATGGAAATAATACAAATTAAATGTCAAATTTTTGCCCTCAGATCCCTTTGGCTTCAAGTGGATTAGTGGATTAATCTGAAGGCAAAATTTGGTCATAAGGACTCTACTCCCATTTTGATGTACACACAATTCCCACAAATGTTAACAAGAGTTGTTCCAATATAGCATGGGAAAAAACTTGTAATGGGCAAAGTAGTTTAGATAAAATAAGCACAAATCCAACCTCTATCACATGCTCCCAACAAACCTGAACCATTTTTGAGGTACAGAAAAGTTTTGTTGAAATTCATTTTGTTTCTGTCCTCAGTCCAGTTACCACTGGACAACCGTTCACCTCCAAAAATCACCACTACAAATTGTCGTAAATGAAAGGTTTTGTATACAGTCTCTGAAGAAGTGTTATGGAATGAATGGAGACCCACCTTCTCCTCTCTAGATGTAGTCACTATGCCCCAGGTTAAGATTCAGACACTTTGATAGGGCATTGCTGAGAAAATTTGCATTGTCACTGCTTGTTCCATATCTGTTTTTGTCTTCCGTCTTTGATAAACATTTTATTCAGCACTTCAGAGGTCCACAAAAGTGAGGTGACAGAGTCTCAGAATAATTGAATTATTATATAGTAGTAGACTTCAGATCCTTGTTGTAAAGAGTAGACAGATATTCCATTGCTGCAATGGAAAAGTTCTGGTGAGTTATTAAGATGGGTGGCTTTAATGGAAAATCCTGATGGCGTAGGACAAGAACATGAACATGGTATGAACAAAGCATCAGTACTAGTCCCTTCAACAGGAAAATGGGGTCAAGAATGCCCTAACTTGGACCCAAATTATTATACAAAATAGGCATGACAAGTGTATATATATATATATATGTAAATTTCCCAAACCATGTCGAGTATGCAAGGTTTATCAGGGTAGAAAAGGGGATAAATCATTGGATGAGTCAGTTTTGTCCATTTTATAGCAGATTAATATTTCTAATACATTGTTTATCTAATTAGAAAGTAGACATAACTTTTAAAGCACACAGGCAAGATTTTTTCCTAGCATGAAGCAGTGTAGCTCAGTTGACATCTACAGAAATAACCTGAATTACACCAAAGATGTGACCCATAACAGGAAGATGGAAAGTATACACACAGCTGTTCTCCTTGAACTGTAATCTTTGTTATTCGCATGGTTATTCCTTGATCCTTTTAAAAGTTTTTATCATTTTTGGACACATTTTCCTTTCTGGTTAAACTCTTACCAGGATAAAAAAAGCCATTGTCCTCTGATAGAAGAGTTATGTGATGGGGAAACAACTTCTGCAGGAGACAAGCTTGTGGTCAATTCACTCCCTGGACCCAGAGCAATAGAAAAGGCTTTATGTGAAGGAAAATTTCAAAAATGGTACTCATGAATCATTGTTTGCTGGACAGGCCAGGGAAATCTAAATGAAGGAAGACATCCTTTCACTTAGATGAGGAAAACCACAGTTCATAATTCTTTCAAAAAGCACACAACAGCTAGCCTTGTATTTTTCAGCTACTTAAAAAACTGGTCGTATTACATTAAAAACTGTTTGGCTACAGTTTATTTATTGTAACTCTCCAATAAGAGAGATTTTTGACGGTCTTGAAAATAAAAAGCTAACTGTAGTACTGTACAAAACCAAATCCTACTCTAATGAGCTGGTCCTCTATCATGCCTTCCTCTTTGTTTATTCAACAATCTGATCATTTCTTTGTGTATCTTTAGCATCATGTTATGAAACAGGTGAAAGAATCTGATTGGCTAAGGAAGATTTCTACAAATATGGACCCATCCTAAGCAACTATATTCAAGCAACCATGAGGTAAGGAGCTGAAATCCAAACCAAATCCAAATCCAAACTTTGCAATAGCTCCTATGATGATGGGTCTTTCTAGTGAAGACAAAAGCCCACATCTAACTACCTCCAAACTTTCAGATGTTTGAAATGTGAAGCTATATTTTGCACATAAGTGGCAGCCTTTTGTTTTAGAAATGTTTGAAACTTTCACAGCCTAAAACCAAGAGCAACTCAGTGGGTTTTTGGTTTCATTAGAAGCCCATTTTATTTTATTTAGGTTTGAATAACACAACCATCAGCATGATAACTGAACATGGGACTAGTTTCCAGAAAAGTTTGCCAGGGTTTGCAAGTCTGGGCCAAGTTTTAGGTGGGGGGGGGGGGGGGCTCGGGCTCATTCCTTAAGTCTTTGGGATGGTTCTCTGCTTTAGTATGGAAACCATGCAAAATTCAACAGTTGTAATTTGTTTTTATTTGAAACCAGGGAAAATCCAGTGCTCCTAACTAAGTTTTACTTTCTGTTCGTTTTTGGCTTCAATCAAAGCCATAATTCAAAGCAAAAATTCAGGAGGTGCAAACCAACATGGAATGAAATCAGAAGAGCCCCAAAATTGCCAAATCCAACAGAACTAAAATTGCAGAGCTGTACACAGCTTTAATTATTATCCTCTGAGGTTTTATTGGCTTGAGAAACACAGCAAGAGACAGAAATGTGCTCATCTGGATCTAGGCAAATTTCAGATACATAGGTGTTCCATAATCTTTTAACTTAATCCTGAAACATGGTAACATCTTCGTCTTCCAGGAGACTCTAATTTTCTAACTTCTTTAAGACACTCTTACAGGTATTAGAGCTCTGTAAAGAATGGATAATTGTAAGTGTTCAATGGCTATTACGATCCACAAACTTAGCCTGATCCAAAGCCCCTGGAAGTCTTTCCATTGCCTTCAGTGAGCCTGGAATCAGGTCCTAAATGGTTTGTGATCTGAATATAATCAGTATTAACACAAGGATTACTTTGGTAATCAAGGGACAGCAAGCATTGTTCTACACCCAATTAGTCCCAGAGAAAGCAAGATAAAGGCACTCCAAACCCTGCACTCAGCTCTGAATCCTACCTTCTATTCCCTATGGTCCCTTCCCTGCTGGTTTATATCACCCACCCTTAGGGAATCAGATGTCTATTGCAGTGGTTCATTAGTGCTTCTGTAACACACACCTGTTTATCCATCCGCCCTTGTCAGCAGAATTCAGATGATCTTGGTTACTTGGTGGAGGAGGAAGTTTTATCTCTGATGGATGTTGTTTATCACAGTCAGATGCTCACTGTGTATTAGTTATTATAAATCAACAAAAGTAAACAACATACAATAATGAAGCAAAAGAAATAAACAAAGGGCTACATCTACAAAGGGGACTTAGAGTCAGTGTTGAAATGGCTAATGTTTAGGTGCCCTAATGCCTAATGGAATCCACAGCCCTGAGTTAGGTGCCCAGGTTCCCTATGCTATACACTGGGAGAGTTAAGTGCCTAAGAGTTGGACTCCACAAAAGCCAGTAAGCTGAATGGGTAAACTCCTAAGCTAAGTCCCACCTCTCAAAAGGAGTGAGGTGAATCAGTCCAGGCCAGAGGGAGATGCCTCTCTCTGCTTGGGATTCACAGCTATGAATCCTCTTCTGGAGTTAGGTATCTAGCCCTTTCTCATAAGAAATGGAAGAGGAGTTTTCCTCGCCCTAGTACCTTTAGCCTAGGGGTTCAGACACTCACTCAGGGTATAGAAGACCTGGGTTTTATCACCCCTTTGTCTGACATGGAATACATACTTGAAGTGGGCTCTCCTCCCTCTCAGAAGACTGTCCTCACCACAGGGCTGTGTGGTATTCTGGGCCAGTGTTCTCTGCATCTTCCCCCTGAAGCTGTTCTACTGTGTATAAATAACTATGCATTGGAGTGCAGGGGCTGAGAACTTGGGTCTCCTACATCATAGAATCATAGAATATCAGGGTTGGACGGGACCTTAGGAGGTCATCTAGTCCAACCCCCTGCTCAAAGCTGGACCAATCCCCAACTAAATCATCCCAGCCAGGGCTGTCTCAAGCCTGACCTTAAAAACTTCTAAGGAAGGAGATTCCACCACCTCCCTAGGTAACACATTCCAGTGCTTCACCATCCCCCTAGTGAAAAAGTTTTTCCCAATATCCAACCTAAACCTCCCCCACTGCAACTTGAGACCATTACTCCTCGTTCTGTCATCTGCTACCACTGAGAACAGTCTAGATCCATCCTCTTTGGAACCCCCTTTCAGGTAGTTGAAAGCAGCTATCAAATCCCCCCTCATTCTTCTCTTCTGCAGACTAAATAATCCCAGTTCCCTCAGCCTCTCCTCATAAGTCATGTGTTCCAGTCCCCTAATCATTTTTGTTGCCCTCTGCTGGACGCTTTCCAATTTTTCCACATCCTTCTTGTAGTGTGGGGTGCAAAACTGGACACAGTACTCCAGATGAGGCCTCACCAATGTCGAATAGAGGGGAACGATCACGTCCCTCAATCTGCTGGCAATGCCCCTACTAATACATCCCAGAATGCCATTGGCCTTCTTGGCAACAAGGGAACACTGTTGACTCATATCCATCTTCTCGTCCACTGTAACCCCTTTTCTGCAGAACTGCTGCCTAGCCATTCGGTCCCTAGTCTGTAGTGGTGCATGGGATTCTTCCATCCTAAGTGCAGGACTCTGCACTTGTCCTTGTTGAACCTCATCAGATTTCTTTTGGCCCAATCCTCTAATTTGTCTAGGTCCCTCTGTATCCTATCCCTACCCTCCAGCGTATCTACCTCTTCTCCCAGTTTCGTGTCATCTGCAAACTTGCTGAGGGTGCAATCCACACCATCCTCCAGATCATTAATGAACATATTGAACAAAACTGGCCCAAGGACCAACCCTTGGGGCACTCCAGTTGATACCAGCTGCCAACTAGATGTGGAGCCATTGATCACTACCCATTGAGCCCGAGAATTTAGCCAGCTTTCTATCCACCTTACCGTCCATTCATCCAGCCCCTACTTCTTTAACTTGCTGGCAAGAATACTGTGGTAGACCGTGTCAAAAGCTTTGCTAAAGTCAAGGAACAACACGTCCACTGCTTTCCCCTCATCCACAGAGCCAGTTATCTCGTCATAGAAGGCAATTAGATTTAGTCAGGCATGACTTGCCCTTGGTGAATCCATGTTGTCTGTTCCTGATCACTTTTCTCTCCTCTAAGTGCTTCAGAATTGATTCCTTGAGGACCTGCTCCATGATTTTTTCAGGGACTGAGGTGAGGCTCACTGGCCTGTAGTTCCCAGGATCCTCCTTCTTCCCTTTTTTAAAGATGGGCACTACATTAGCCTTTTTCCAGTCGTCCAGGACCTCCCCAGATCGCCATGAGTTTTCAAAGATAATGGCCAATGGCTCTGCAATCACATCCGCCAACTCCTTTAGCACTCTCGGATGCAGCACATCCGGCCCCATGGACTTGTGCTTGTCCAGCTTTTCTAAATAGTCCCGAACCACTTCTTTCTTCACAGAGGGCTGGTCACCTCCTCCCCATGCTGTGCGGCCCAGTACAGCAGTCTGGGAGCTGACCTTGTTTGTAAAGACAGAGGCAAAAAAAGCATTGAGTACATTAGCTTTTTCCACATCCTCTGTCACTAGGTTGCCTCCCTCTTTCAGTAAGGGACCCACACTTTCCTTGCCTTTCTTCTTGTTGCTAACGTACCTGAAGAAACCCTTCTTGTTACTCTTAATATCTCTTGCTAGCTGCACCTCCAGGTGTGATTTGGCCTTCCTGATTTCACTCCTGCATGCCTGAGCAATATTTTTATACTCTTCCCTGGTCATTTGTCCAATCTTCCACTTCTTGCAAGCTTCTTTTTTGTGTTTAAGATCAGCAAGGATTTCACTGTTAAGCCAAGCTGGTCGCCTGTCATATTTACTATTCTTTCTACACATCAGGGTGGTTTGTCCCTGTAACCTCAATAAGGATTCTTTAAAATACAGCCAGATCTCCTGGACTCCTTTCCCCCACATGTTATTCTCCCAGGGGATCCTGCCCATCAGTTCCCTGAGGGAGTCAAAGTCTGCTTTTCTGAAGTCCAGGGTCCGTATTCTGCTGCTCTCCTTTCTTCCCTGTGTCAGGATCCTGAACTCAACCATCTCATGGTCACTGCCTCTCAGGTTCCCATCCACTTTTGCTTCCCCTACTAATTCTTTCCGGTTTGTGAGCAGCAGGTCAAGAAGAGCTCTGCCCCTAGTTGGTTCCTCCAGCACTTGCACCAGGAAATTGTCCCCTACACTTTCCAAAAACTTCCTGGATTGTCTGTGCACCACTGTATTGCTCTCCCAGCAGATATCAGGGTGATTGACGTCTCCCATGAGAACCAGGGCCTGCAATCTAGTAACTTCTGTTAGTTGCTGGAAGAAAGCCTCGTCCACCTCATCCCCCTGATCCGGTGGTCTATAGCAGACTCCCACCACGACATCACCCTTGTTGCTCACGCTTCTAAACTTAATCTAGAGACACTCAGGTTTTTCTGCAGTTTCATACCAGAGCTCTGAGCAGTCATACTGCTCTCTTAACATACAATGCAATTCCCCCACCTTTTCTGCCTTGCCTGTCCTTCCTGAACAGTTTATATCCATTTATGACAGTACTCCAGTCATGTGAGTTATCCCACCAAGTCTCTGTTATTCCAATCAAATCATAATTCCTTGACTGTGCCAGGACTTCCAGTTCTCCCTGCTTGTTTCCCAGGCTTCTTGGGAAAGTGACATTCTAGGAGAGTGTCTGTAGCCCAAACCATATTTAATTATTTATATAACCAGTGCAAGGACAATATTAAGTTTGACACAAGTTCAAATCCCTGCTCCTGTCAGATAGAGGGAGATTGAACCTTGGGATCCTACGTTCTGGGTGAGTGCTCTAACTACAGGCCTAAAGGTTAGAAAGGGGCACCTTCTCTAGCATTGTTTTGTGTGGAGCT